AGAGAAGACTTATGGGACATATGGTAGTTGTTTTTAAGTATTTAAAGGGTCAGAACATGGAAGAAAAGGGTCAACTTTGTCCTGCTTTGCCCCAGAGGGGAGGACCAGATGCAATGGACAGGAGCATGTGACCTTGTCACAGGCATTTAACCTCCATGAATCTCAATTTCTTCATCCCTAAGATGAGGGAGTGGGACTAGAAGGCTTCTGAGGTCCCTTCTAGCTTGAGAGCTGTAATCTAATGATCCTAAGATACCAGAAGGCAGATTTGGGCTTGATTCAAGGAATGTGTGTTAATGAAAGCTGTTCAATAGTCCAACATCCAGCTTTGGGTACAGTGTTCCACACTCCCACCCCTAGGCTCTCACTTCTTCAAGCAGAGGTTGGACAACCAATTATCAGGGAAGTCACAGAGGGATTCTGATTCAGATCTCTAGATCTCTTGATCTCTAGATCAAGCTCTGAGGGTCCTTCCAGTTCTGAGGCTTCATATCCTTTCCCCAGTACTCACTATTGGAAGGGACACTGGATTTAAGCAAGGAGACTTGAATCCAGTTCTTCTAACTCCACTGCTTATTTATTGTCTGATCTTGGGCACTCAGCCTCAGTTTATCTTTGGTAAAGATTTAAACTATCCAAAGATCCATGACTTCACCCATGCAGGTTCCCCTATCACCTTCAGCAATGCTGATCCCAACCACCTTAGGAAATAGTTTTTTGTGAGTTGCTATGGCTTAAAAAAAAAGTCATCTCCGGATGGCTGATGAATGCCCATGGACCTCTCTGTAGTTAGCTAGGCTGGAACTTAAGAAACTGACATCCATCACTGGTCCATAATCCATTGTTCTTCCTGCAATCAACCCCTTTCTAGTTTAATGGTAGCGATGAAGGCATGAGCTCTGTTGGCACAGGCTTTCAGAGCCCAAGGTCATGCCTATGCCTTGAATGAGGCATCAGAAGAGGATGTTTGGGGGGTTGGGAAGGGGAGAGAACATTATTTGTACTAATTGTCTCATCTGATCCTCATAACAACCCTTGGAAGTAATGTATGTAAACTGCTATGCAGCCATAACACGCTATCTGAATGCAAGCTATTATCATTAACAGGTAAACTGCCAGCCCACGTTTTGTTAGGCCAGATGGCAATTTGGAGAAGAAGTCAGTCTTCAATTTCCAAAGGCCCTAAGGCCCTAGGAGAGGGAAGCAATTGAAGGAGCCATCTCAGCTAGTGCCATGGAATGAATACTGGCTTTGAAGGTCAGGCCTAAGCTGCTTTTTGGTGGTGGTGGTGGGGCCAGTGTATGGGAGACCAATATTCAAATCCATCTCTGACACTAGCTATACAATCAGGGACAAGTCACTTAATCTCTCTAAGACTCAGTTTCCTCATCTGTAAAATGAGGTTGGAGCCTCTAAGCTTCCTTCCTTCTCTAAATCTATGATCTTACAAGTAACAAGTTCCTCTGAAGTTTTCCTTACAGGAGGGATTCCTAACTTGTTTTTATGCAAGTGCACGTGTGTATGTGTTTATATGTATGATGGACTCTTCTGGCACTCTGGTAAAGCTGACGGACCACTTTTCAGGATAATAATTGGAGGAAATGCAAAATTTTAGTTAGGGGTTAATGACAATAACATGTATTTTTGCTATCCAAGTTCAACCTATCCATGGGCCTCAGGTTAGGAACTCTTGCCTTAGAGGGTCACAGTTCCCTCAATTGTCAACTGAAGAAGTTGGGCTGGTCTCTATGGTTTCTTCCATCTCCAACGCTCTAAAGTTCTAAGGTTCCTCCCATTCATTCGTCCAACAAGTATTAATTTAGTGTTTGTTCTGTGCCAGGTGCTTTGCTGGGTGCTGGGGATACAAAAGCACAAAGTACATAGTCCCTGCCTTCAGAGAGCTTCTGTTCTTTTGCACTAAAACAACATGAACATAGATGAGTAAATTCAAAATGTATGCTAAGTAATATCTTGGGGGTTGGGGGGAAGGGTGAAAACTAGCAGTTGGAGGTTTGGGCCTAGCAGGCCTGTAGGAAGTGGCTCTGACTCAGCCTTAAAGGCAGCTGGAAAGTCAACAAGGTAGAGGTGAAGAGAGAGGGTTTCCCAGGCATAGGAGACATTCTATGTAAAAACAAAAAGATATGAGATGGAATGTTAGGTATGGCAAAAAGTAGAGGGCCTAGTTGGGCTGGAACACAGAGTACTTCATGGAGATTAATGTGCAATAAGCCTGGGAAGGTAGGACGGGTCCAACTGCAAAAGGCTTTAAATGTAAAAAAAAAAAAAGAAGAATCAAAACCAATAGAAGGAACCACCAGAAAGAGAAAACAAAACTTAACAGAAGAAAAAAAGAATAGCAAATAGTATGCTTTGATCTGCATTCAAACTCAATAGTTCTTTCTTTGGATGTGGATAGCATTTTCCATCACGAGGCCTTTGGAAATGTCTTAGATCCTTGTATTGCTGGGAAGGGTTAAGTTTATCAATATTAGTCATCAAAGAAGGCTAGGTAACAGGGTGAGGGTTAGGTAGATAAGAGATACTATGGAGGTAGAATCAATAGCAATTGTTACCTGTTTGGACATGGGGGGTTGAGGGAGAGAGGCGAGTCCAGAATAAATCTAAGGTTGTCAACCTGAGCGACCAGAAAGATGATGGTTCCATCAACAGATAAGTGGCAGTTCTAAAGGGGCTTCTGGCTTTTAAGTTCTGTGCTCTTAGGCTCTTTCCAACTCTGATAGTCCATATCCTAAAGTCTCTTCCAGCTTTGACACCTTTTATTCTAACCCTCCTACCTTTAATATTTTGTGTTCTAAGGCCCCTCCAGCTCTGACATTCTGTGTTCTAAGGCCTCCCTCCCCCAGCTCTGACATTCTGTGTTCTAAGGGCCCTTTCAGCTTTATATGTTTCTTTGTCTTAATGAATCTTAGGTGCTGTAGTAATCATTGCTAACATCTTACAGTTAGCGTGCCCAGCAGAGACCACTTTATGTCTGGGTGGAATAATCAGTAAGGCAAATTTCTCTTAGGATGAAAAGTGACATTTCTATAGTGCTTTAAAGCTGATATGAGGCAGTTTGGCATAGGAGCTAGAAAGCTTGTCTCAAAGCTAAGAAGACCTGGGTTCAGGTCTCATCTCTGAAACAGCCTAGCTGAGTCACCCTGGACAAGTCCCTGAACATCTCAGTTTTGTGGTCACTTTTCTGACACTGAGAATATAAATAGTAGAACAGGCATTAAAGTTTATTGGTAGACGGAATTTCCTTTTTTGGGAGTTTGCTTTATCAATGAAATCATAGGTCTCTATTCCCTATTCCTTTGAAGTTCACAAGGCATTTTTCTTACAACAAGTCATCAAGGTAGGGAGTGTGAAAATGCTCACTTCTATTTTACATGTAATGCGGGCTCTGGCACATGCTGAGACTGCCTAGGCTGGTGTCACTCACATGGAAGAGGAGATTGTAGGACCGGAGCTTTCTGGGACATTCCACATCTATCCCATGGTTGGTGCTGCCTTTTTCCATTATCTGGATCTGACTTAGCAAAGGGAGAGGTGGGGTGTGTGTGTGTGTGTGTGTGTGTGTGAAATATAATAGTCCTGGCCATAAGAGAGTGGGGCCAGAGTCCATCATATTAAATACGGATGAGGAAATTGAGACTCAGAGAGATACATTAACTTAGCCAGGGTCCCCCAGCTAATAAGTGACCATGAGACTTAAGACCAGGTCTCTTGGTTCCACGCTTTCCACTAGACTGTCATGCCTCTGTCATGCCTCAGGCATGTATGTAAGAAGGGTATACACATACATGGAAGGTGGTATCATTATCTTACTTGATCCTCATCCCATGTAAGTACAGCAGACATTATTATGGCCAATGAAGAAACTGAACCCAAAGGAGGGAAAATGATGGGTCACGGCCAGAGGGCCCGTGAGTGGCTGAGCTTCCCTGTCCAGGATGTTTCCCAGAACACTCCAGGCCAGTTTCAAGGGCCAATTGGAGAGCTTACACTTGGTGCCCTAGGACTGATTGTGCTGAGGGAATGGTACCATCACTAGCATTTTTGACATCTGGGGCTCTGGGTGTGGGGCATGGATGTGCTGGAGCCAGCTCACACCTTTTGGAGCCAATTGTTACATTCTCAGTGTATTTACACCTCTGAAGTCAGCAAACATCACAAATCGGTCTTGACTGGTTGTTGATTGTCTAGACTTAAGGAAGTGATGGAGAAAATGTTAATCATACAGATTAAACTTGAAAGTGTGTCCTGTAAATACTTTTTTTTGAAAGCCATCATTAAATATTTTCCAGCATACTTCTGCCTTTAGGGATGGGCCTCAGTAGAAACATTGCTGGCTAGGAGTCAGGGGACCTGGGATGGAATCCCAGTTCTTCCACAAACCATATATCTGGCCTTGGATCCATCCTTTACACACCGTAGGCCTTAGTTTCCTTATTTGTGAAATTATTGGGATGGCCTAAACCAAGGGTGGGGGAACCTGCAGCCTCGAGGCCACATATGGCCTTCCAGGTCCTCAGATGCGGCCTTTTGACTGATTCCAAGTTTTACAGAACAAATCCTTTTATCAAGGGGATCTGTTCTGTGAAGTTTGGATTCAGTCAAAGGGCCACACTTGAGGTCCCTTTGGGGGCCTCACATGTGGTCCCAAGGTCAAAGGTTCCCCAACCTTGGCCTAAACCATCTTCATTATCTGTTCTAGCACTCATAACCTTCAAATCAATCCATATTGAAGCTTTCCAGCTCAGTCTTTGGAACGTCTTTTGTCTCCATCACCTAAGGGCTGCCTTTCCTGGCCCAGGGCCTTCAGGATGGCCATAGTGATATTAGACTTTGTAACTAACTAAACAGTTCCCTCTTTCCAAAGGAATGCCCACATCCCCATAGCCTTTCTGAGTCAGCGTCTGCAAGGCAACAATGGATCAGATGTGCTCATAGGTCCAAGAGACAGATGTAGAAGATGTCCTTTCCTAGCCCCTCACCTCACAGTGGACTGATAGACAAGGTCTTCCCTCTTCCGGTAATTCTCCATGTGGGAAGAGTTGGTGGAGAACATGGCATCAAATGTGAAGATCTTCTGCTTTATGGTCCCACCGTCTGTCACCTGCCAAAGAAACAAAACCACATCCAGTGGTGACGTTAATGGTGGCTGTACTCCAGGGCCAGGCCCCGCTCACTACTGCTAAGGCCACTGAGAGCTCTATAACTCTCTTGTTCTACTGGCTTAAATCACAAAGTGCTTTTTTCTGTGAATTGGCAAGGACCTCATTCTAAGATATGTAAGGAATTAATTCAGATTCATAAGAATAAAAGCCAATTCCAAATTGATAAATAGTTTAAGGATTTATATCAAGGAAAGAAACCCAGGTTATCTAAGGCCATATGAAAAATTTCTCCAAGTCACTACTAATTAGAGAAATGCAAATTAAGACAATTCTGAAATCTTACTTCATACCATCAGATAGGCAAAGATAACAAAAAAGAAAATAATAAATGTGGTGGGGCTGTAGGAAAATAGGCACGTTGATGCACTCAGTGGACCTGTGAATGGGTACAACCATTTTAGAAACAAATTTGGGATTAGATACAAAAAGTTACTAAACAGTGCATACCCTTTGACCTAACTATATGACTGCTAGGCCTATACCCAAAGTGATTAAAGAAATAGGAAGAGCTTCTATTTTTACAAAAGTATTTATAGGAACTCTTTTTTGAGGTAGCAAAAAAATTAGAAACTAAAGGGGTGTGCATCAATTAAGGAATGGTTGAGTAAATATATGAATGTAATGGAATGTAACGTAAGAAATGAGGAAATAGATTGTTTTAAAAAGACATGGAGAGGCTTATATGAACTGATACAGAATGAAGTGAGTAGAATCAAATGAACAATTTAGACTATAATATCCATGTTAAAAGAACAGACAATTTTGAAGACTTTTATACAAAGAATAAGATGAGCAGAACCAGAAGAACAATTTCTACATTAACAAAAGCACTGCAAAGTCAAAGAACTTTGAAAGCTGTAAGAACTACAATTAATTCAATGAACACTCATGATTCCAGAGGGCTGATGAAACATACTACCCATTTCCTAGAAATTAGAGGGATGACAGATTAAGGGTGCAGAAAAAGAAACATATTTTTTGTGTCAGTCAATGAGGGAATTTGTTTTGCTTGACTATTCATGTTTGTTACTAGGAATTTGTTTTTCTTTTCTCTCTTTTTTTTTTCAATGGTGTGGGAAGTGGGAGGGAGAGAAAATAAATTTCTGTTAATTTTTTAAAAATTAAAAAATAGCAAAGCAGAGGATATTAGAGATATGGAATGTTGCATGCACTTTCAGATGAGGTCATTAAATTGTTAGTCAGACTTAATTGTTTTATTTGTTAAAAGAGACCTCTCCTAGGAGTAATCTTCAAATGTTCATAATGTAAAAACATAACACATCAACAAAACTTAAAAAAAGAAAAAGAATTATAAGGGGCCATTAGGGAAGGGCCACACTTATCCTGTGAAGGCAATGAATCAGGCCAGCCAATTGAGAAACCATAGAGACAGACATTAGTAAGGGGGTTAGGGCCAACGAGCCTGGCAAATAGTAGGTAATTATAAGTGTTTGGTGACTGTTTGGCAGATAGAAACCCTAGCATGATTCCAAACCAAAAGGCAAATTTTCCTTTTTACTGATTCATAATTCCAAGCAGTCTCTTACTTCTGATGTGAGTATGGAACGTGGGAACATGGCAGATAGGGTGGGGAGGGGTGTCAATCTTTAGGTAATAACATATTGATAATTTTTGCTATAGGCTATGAAAATTCCAGGTTAGAAAATATGGAGATGAGAGGAAGTGGAGCGTATAGAGCTCCATATTAGGAAAATGAAACACTTGGCTTTCACTACTAGTTTAGTAGTTGTCTCATGCTGCCATGAGAAAGCCAGTTTCTCTGGGTTCCAAATGATGGGGGTTGGAGCCAAATGGTTTTTGGGGTCCCTTCCTGCTCTAATAGCCTATGCAAAAACATTCCTAATATTGTACATTCTGAGGATGCTCTGAGCTCTGACATGTTTTAATGTCCCTCTTACCTCTGACATTCTTCATTCTAAGGTCCTTCCCAGCTCTGACCTCCTGTGTTCTAAGGGCCCTCCCAGCTCTGACATTCTATGTCCTAAGGACCCTCCTAGCTCTGACATTCTCTGTTCTAACCTTTACATTGTTTTGAAAAGGCAGTGCCAAGTAGTGCTCAGGCTAGCCTGCAGGGGGCGAATGGAACCACGCTGGTGCTTTCCCGACTGGGCAGGTTCATTCTTCTATCTCCTACAATCCCATTTTTCTGAATAGCTCTTATCCCTGATGAGACTAAGAGCAGGTGGGAGGGTCTCTCTTTAGACAATGAAGTAATTATTATCTTTCCTGTTTCCCATCTGCTTAGGGCCGTTTCCTCTTTGTACTTCCAGAACTCCTGCTTACTTGGTAGAGGGAGTTTCCTTGTTGGGAATCCCCAGTCCGATGAAATCCCAGGCCCTCTCCCCTCCCTGCTTCCAGAACAGTGAATATCATAGCGATAGCTTGGATTTCACTTCTGCCTTTCTATCCAAATTGCTTTCCTTTCTGTTTGGCTCCTTCCTCATCATCCCAGACAGTAGGTTGTGAGAACCATGTTTCCAATGTAAAGATGGTTCAAACTAACCCACACCCTGTTTTGATATTTAACCTGTTGTGACAATCTGCAAAAAATATATAGACTCAGCTGGAATGATGAGATTTATGGCATCCAGCACCGGAGCAACGGGCTTGGAGTCGGAAGACTTGGCCTTGAGCTGGGGCTCTCTCACTTATTGGCAATTTCCTTTCCTGAGTCATGCTTTCTTTACCCTTCCAATGTAAAAGGGTTGCATGAGATGGTCTCCAAGGGCCCTTCCAGCTCTGACACTTAATGAGTTTATGGTCAGTTGACAGGTAGCATGACTGGAGAGATTGGAGCATAGCATGGGTCGGATGGAGGTGTTGAGTGGTAAGAGCTTGGAAACAGAGGGTGCCATCTACATCCATGGGGGATGGGGAAAGAACCCATCCTCCTCTGACCTATTGCTTCCTGTGTGACCTTGGACAAATCACTCGGCCTCGCTGGGCCTCCATTTCATCATATGTAAAAGGAGGAAGGTTGAAAGGAGATTCTTTCGAACTCCAGTCCTAGGATTCTATGTTCTCCCCTCCCCCTCCCAGGAGCAGCGGAGAGGTGAGATGGGGAGTGAGACTTATCAAGGGCAAACCCTGCCTACTTCACAGCTCTTCCCAGGGCTGGCCCCGTTCCAGGTGTCTAATCTGATCATTGCCTCATCTTCCTACCTGTACCTCTACCGTGTCCTGCGATGACATCTTGTCCTGACACACTCCAGAGATTCTGCCTTGGGGAGATGGTGCTCAGAGGAACAAACCGACTTCTGAGATACAGGGCTATTCCCAAACCCCCTCCCCACTCCCTTACTGATCAGGGGACTCTAAGATTTTTCCATGATGGCCTGGAAAATGGACCAATGATGAAACCCTATTGGGTCCAGTTGTCTTAATGGCCAAAAAGAGTTGAGGCGTTCCAATGTTTGACTGCCAACTGATTATAAGATTATAGGGAAGTCGCTACCCTTTTTTAGGCCATGTACCAAATAGAAGCCATTTTGTGTTTCCCTAAGGACTATTTATAATCAAATGGATAATGAGTAAATTCAGTGAACTTCAGTACTTGAAAGACCTGTGGTCTTATCATCATGGATGTTCCAGCCACTGACTTCAATTATGCACCTTAATAGACCACAGGCTCCTTCAATTATGCACCTTAATAGATCACAGGATGATAGAATGTAGGGCTGGAAGGAGCCTTAGAAGCCAACTAGTTCAGTCCCCTCACTGTACAAATGAGGATTCTGAAGCCCACAGGGGCTAAGGACTTGCCCAAGGTCACACAGATAATAATTCGTAGAATTGGGATTTGAACTCAGGGACTCTTGAATTCCAATCCAGCACCCTTTTCACTTTGCCATTATTCCTCCCAAAGCCTGGCAGGGACTTTAGAATGTAGGATCATTGATTTAGAACTGGAAGGGACATTAGAAACCACCTGATCTAGTCTTCTCATTTTATTTAGGTGACTTGCCCAAGATCACACGATGATGTTGGTAATAACTGTTGATAATAAATGGCAGAGGCAGGATTCAAATCCCGGTCCTCTGAATCCAAAGCCAGTGTTCCTTCCACTGCCCCATTCTGCCCCATGGCTAGTTGCTGTGTCCAAAACTCCAAAATTTCTCACTTAGTGACCCAGCTTCATACCATGAGCCTTTAGGAACTTAGGGGGGCGGGTCCTTGGAACACAGCTATCACCTATATCTAGCCCCAAGTCTGTGCTCAACGCCTCTCCAGGTTGGTAAGCCCTGCCATGGCTCACATAGCTTGCTTTGCACATATTTATTTGCATGTTGTCTCTCTCATTAGATTGTAAGCTCCTTCAGGGCAAGAATCATCTTTTGCCTCTTTTTGTATCCCTGCCACTCAGCCCAGTGCCTGGAACATAGCAGGTGCTTAATAAATATTTATTGGTAGATGTTCTGCTGGCACGGCCTGTCCCAACTCAAAGGTGCCCATTATACCACTGGAACGCCTTAGGGGATGCCTGCAGTGGAGGCCATTCCTATGGTATGAAAATACCATGTTTTATAGTTAGTGAGCACTTTGCTTACAACAGACTTGTGAGACAGGTAGCACAGGGATCATTATTTTCATTTTACGGAGGAGGAGGAAACCGTGGGCTCAGAAAAGTGAGCTTATGGGACTTAGAACTTTGTTTCTGGGAGCCTCAGTTTATGTCTCTGTAAAATGGGGCTAATTCCAGTCCCACTTCTCAGAGATGGTGTGAGGAGAGGGCTTTGTAAATACTGAAGCATTTTTTAAATGTGTGGAGATGGCTTATCAAGAAAACTTGGATCCCCAAATTACCATCCCACTTTGGGGACACAACTTGAGACAGGAGCCAAGTTGGCTGAATCATCGACAAGTCCTTACTCCAGAAAATAAGCTCTTGGCTGCTCCCCAGACTTTCCCAAGATGGGTC